ATACGCTATTTTGTTCTCTTACTATAAACCACCCTAAGTCTTTGTGGGGAAAGATGGCATATACATCCAATAAATAAAGATTAAGGCCTAAACTACTATTATTATCAAACTCAGTGAATCAACAACCCATCAGATATCATAATCACAGGAATGATCTTTAAATAAATGCTTTCACTCTATAGTAATTGATGAGGTTGATGAGGGAAGGGAGCAGCAAACAAGAAAAGAACCCATAAGAAAAAAAGTGGTCACAAAAGCTAATCCAGGTAATGGGATAAGAATCCATAGTCCCTGTTTAAACCATACTTAACATAATCCAGTCTGTGAATGATTCTTGTTCCACAATTTCCTGGGTTTTTTTAATGTTTTTGCCTGACAACAAGAGTCCTGAGGTCAGCTATAGAATGTCCAGGGAGGTTAAAATGTTCTGCCGTGGACCTTTGTTTCTTTCTGTAACAAATAACAGTTAATATTCATTAATTGTTACCTGTAGAGATCTGTCTGATGTAGGCATCATGCAGTCCCTTGACCATATTGACCCCATTGTTGGTGACCATGAACCCATGGGTGAGCTCACCATGCCCAACGAGCCAGCCCTGCACCATGTGGTTCATGGCCACCATGATCTCCCTTGCTGTGTGGGACCCATCCATCACTTCTGCTTGAAGGAGAGCACACTGATGCCCTGACTGATTGCACCAGTGCCCTGTGAGGGAAGGATAAACATGTTCTCCACCCCGGCTGCTCCAGATGTCTGAGGTGAAGTGCAAGGCTACCTGTGGACTTGCCTTCCACAGCTCCTCCCTAAAGTACTCCCTGCATGCCTCATACAGGGAGGGCACCATCATCCTGCTAAAGGTGGCGCATGCAGACGCTTGGTATGATAGGGCCACAAGTGCTATGAGCTGCTTAAACCCTAGCCCCTCAATAAAGGAGAAGGGCTGGCTATCCAAAGCAAGCATCTCCCCAGTGCTCTGGGTAACCTCGCTTACCTTCAGAACATGCCCCCCTTTGTCTCCACCTTTCCTCCACTGGTCCAGAGTGGCCTGCCTCTGCTTCTAGGGGATGGGGGTTTTAGGTTGAGAAGGGGACTTCTTTTTGCCCATGTTCCCACTGGTGCCAGGCTGAGGAGGAACAAGGGCAAGGGGGTGCTGCTTCCTGAGATGCAACAGCATTGCTGTGGTGGCAGTGTCTCACGTCCTTGCCCTGGCTGATCTGCCTTCAGCAGTGCTGCCAGGTAGCATATCTGGGATCATCTGCCACCTCAAAATGCTCCCACACTAAACTACTCACCCGCTTCTGGGTTGAGGGTGGGGATCCTGCCTTATCCCCCTCCTTACGAGACAGAGACACAACAGGAGGAGCTGAGCCACCTGCCCCCACAACCTCCTCTGAAGTGCCTTCCAGAGAAGGACACCTGCCTCTAGGAGAACTTTGTGGAGCACAAACTCAGCTTCCCCCTCCTTCCCCAGAATTTCCTTTGCTGTGGCCCTCAGCTCCTCCTGTGGCACTGGACGATTCATGCTGGGAACTGAACTTGGGGTGGAGAATGTCATTCTGCTTCTGGTTAGTGGTGGTGGTGCAGGTGCAGGCACTACTACCACCTCTTTGCTCCCACTAGCAGCAAAAGACTGATCACTGCCAGGGAAGAGGGTGCATGTACGTTTGGGGTGGGGGGAACTTGCAGCTCTCCCCTGCCCCCTCTCACTTCCCTGCCAGAAGACCTAGCACCTGCCTTTCCAGCATGCTTCATAATGCCTTGAAGCCTTTCAGATACTGCTGCTCCAAGAGAGACACAGCTCACAAAAGGCACAGATCGCTTCAGACACAGCTTTATATGTTGTTTCTATGTCCCTCCCCCAGAACACTGTGATTGGAAGGGAACTCAGAGAAAGATCACAGTCACGGGCCAGCTACAGTTGTCAATATCAAACCAGTCTTTCCCCCCCGTCTCAGCCTTTTCCATACATGGAAAATCATCCCTTAAGCATTCCCTCTAAGCAGCGCATTCATGCCGCGCTGCCAGGCGCGCCTGCATGGCCATGCACACCACGCTGCTTAGAGAGAACGCTGCACCCCATCCCCCTCCCTCTTCTCAGTTTCTTTTTCTGCAAGCCTTCGAAATCTCCGAAGTTCTCCAAATCAATTCAGAGGCTTCCAGTTCGATTCAGACCTTTTAATGGGTCGCCCAATTCAATTCGGATTCGGAGATTCAGCTGCCAAATCAGGCTGAATCTCCTCCAAATCAAATCAGCTGCTGAAGCTTTGCACAGTCCTTAGTATTTGGTGCACTGAATTAGTATACCACATTTTGGAATAGATCTGTGAATGATCCGTGGATCCTGATGGCTTTCTTGTGTGGAGTGTTGATTGTTCTGGCAGTAGATAGCTAACCTCTGCATTTCATAGGTGATAACAACACTACTCGGGAACAATGTTTTACAGAATATTTTGTTCCATCTGGTACTTAGTTCTGTTTCCCTGACAAAAGCCTGAGAAAGGGTACTTTAATATCCACAAGTTTGCCTATGTCTGTCTTAATCATGCAGTTTGTCCATTAAAACAGAATTTCTTTCCTTCAAAACTTTTGTTTTCAGCATAAATATAAACTTTTTTTTACAAATGAAGAATTTTCATACAACACTGTTTCATCCAAATCCATTTTAGAGTGAAAAAGACTTTGTTTTTTTTAACAAATATGAAATCAGCTCTTCAAAAAGCAATTAAGATTTTGTGTGTTATAAAGTAGGGTAATTCTATTGTCTGTATAAGATAAAACCGCTCTTTGAAAGGTGGTCATAATTTAGGAATTTCATTCTGTGGGAAATGCCAATATTTCCTTTATCCCATATTAGAATAAAAAGCCAAAATCATGACATTTACAGAAAAATTAAATTTCTGGAAAAAAAATACTTGGGAACATTAAAATGACCATATAAAAAATGTAATGAGGACAAAGAATTTACATTCAATAAGGCTGAAATGCTCTGTTTCAACTTTAGTTCAACTTAAAAAATCTTTAACAAACCAATGTAAAACTCAAAAAGAAGTATTTTAGTGTTGAAAATGCTGAGAAAAGTTATAGTTCCTGCAAAATATTTTGACTTCACTGACTCAGCATTTTAAAACAGAAAACTCTTTCACTGAAAAATGTCCATCCAATTCTGATGTATATATAATGTTAAACTTTATATATAACGGTATGCATTGTAATTTTAAGAAAATGTAAACCTTCTCAAATTCCAGTTAGCTTGTGTTTTTATCATATGGGATTAGATGTGTGCCAATGCTTAGAAATTAAATTAGAAGTGTTTGTTTTACAATGATTACTAACGTGTCCTTAATAATCAACTACTATGCGGATTTATCCAAAACAGTGAAAACTCTTTAAAATAACTGTATAGTAGAACCTCGTTAACTCATGCTATTGAATTTTGTGAGTAAAGGATAGATCTAAATTGTTCTCATAGGTGCCTCCATTTAGGTGAGCAACAGCTAAACAATGTGTGTTTTACTCCAGAAAGGCAAACCAAAATGACAGAATTAGGTATGGAGGATCCCTATTCCATCAATGAAGTTATCTCTGTACTTCTGTTACCTCAGTATCCAGAGCACCCCAAAAGGAAATGCCTTTTTTCACTGCAACAGAACCATTCAGTTCAGTGGAAAGTGCAGCACCCTTCAGTCTTAGACATGTCCAGTGGAGATGCCCAGTCCATGTTCCCAGGATGTTCTTGCTAGTTAAAATGAATAAATAACACTGGCACAGGGACCTGAACCTCCCCAGACTAGCCCCAGCCCATAGAAGTGCCCTCATCGCTGAGCTGAAGTCATGCTCCCACTTGCTTTCAGTCTTTCTGGCCTTTTAGCCCCATGAAACTTGCACTTGTCTTGAACCTGCCCCAGTAGCCCAGGTTCAACAGGAAAAGTGTTCCTCAGCCTCATAGTTAGGCACTCTCAGCAACAGAAGTGGTTTCAAATCACTTCAGGAATCCAGGTCACCCACATCCTGCGTGTGTGCTTTAACAACTAGGTTATTGGGCAAAAAGTGAGCACCAACACTATGTTTAACAAAGAAAGATACTGAGTGCTGCTCTTTACAACAAGTACAGTTAATGATAGTCAACTCTTAGGCATGCACTGTAGCTACCTAGCAGATTGGGATCTAAGATGGATGTTGGGCATCTCCCGGATCTCATTTGGATCACACCAAAGCTGAGGCAGGTGTTTGGGTGTTTTGCTCTGAATACCTTTTGAGATTATTCAAAAACTTCAGCCTAGGCATCTAGTGATTTTTTTTAGGACAAAATGGATGTCCCTATTAAATGTAGGCACTTAAGTGGTTTGGCAGCCTCAGAAGAATTTTTTTTATGACTTAGTCACCTAAATTCTATTTACCAGGGCACCCCTAGGAGTAACTAGGAATAATGGGTACAAACTAGTGGAGAGTAGATTCAGGTTAGACATTAGGAAGAAATTTTTCACAGTAAGGGTGGCCAGAATCTGGAATGGACTGCCTAGAGTGGTGGTGCTATCACCTAACTTAGAGGTCGTCTGACCTCAGTCCTTTTCCTGCCTGGGGCAGGGGGTCAGACACAATGATCCTTCAGGGCCCCTTCTGACTCTACAGTCCTATCTAGGCACATATAAAAGTGATTTGAATCTGGTTCTAAGTTACCAAAAACAATAACAAGACAAAGATAAGGGAAAGTGTCACATAACATTTTATATTGTTGATTCTAGGATTGTTTTATTCATTATAATATATACTATATTACATTGTACATTTTGTAAAAATGTACAATATATTTTGTAAAAATAATGAAACACCAATAATAAGAGATCTTGTGTCATTGAACAATAGGGAGATGGTAACAATTTCTTGTGGGAATTTAAAAGGACGTATTTACAGCAGTTGGATTACAGAGGTTCTACTGTTTTTTCAGTGAATCCAATTCAGATCTTATTAATTCTTTACTACATCTTCTATTTTTTTCTAGGTCTTACTGCTGCAGCATCCCTTGTATCCCTGGCTTGGGCTTTGGCTTCCTATCAAAAAGCCCTGCGTGACTCCCGCGATGACAAGAAACCCATCAGTTACATGGCTGTTATAATTCAGTTTTGCTGGCATTTCTTCACAATTGCAGCCAGGGTCATTACTTTTGCTCTGTTTGCCTCAGTTTTCCAGCTATACTTTGGGATCTTCATTGTCCTCCACTGGTGTATCATGACCTTTTGGATCGTCCATTGTGAGACAGAATTCTGCATCACCAAATGGGAAGAGATAGTGTTTGACATGGTTGTTGGAATAATCTATATCTTTAGTTGGTTCAATGTCAAGGAAGGAAGGACACGCTGCAGGCTTTTCATTTATTATTTTGTGATCCTTTTGGAAAACACCGCCTTGAGTGCTCTCTGGTATCGGTACAAAGTCCCACCAATTTCTGATGCATTCGCCATACCAGCACTCTGTGTGGTGTTCAGCAGCTTTTTAACAGGCATTGTTTTTATGCTGATGTACTATGCCTTCTTTCATCCCAATGGACCAAGGTTTGGGCAGTCACCAAGCTGTGCTTGTGAGGACCCTGTAGCTGCCTTCACTCTGCCCCCAGAAGTTGCAACAAACACTCTAAGGTCTATCTCTAACAATCGGAGTGTCACAAGTGACCGGGACCAGAAGTTTGCAGAGAGGGATGGGTGTGTGCCTGTCTTTCAAGTGAGGCCCACTGCACCTTCTACGCCTTCCTCCCGGCCACCAAGGATTGAAGAATCAGTCATTAAAATTGATCTCTTCAGAAACAGGTACCCAGCATGGGAAAGACACGTATTGGACAGAAGCCTAAGAAAAGCTATCTTAGCATTTGAATGTTCCCCTGCTCCTCCACGGCTACAGTATAAAGATGATGCCCTTATCCAGGAGCGCTTGGAATATGAAACCACATTATAAAAAAAAAAGTGAAGACTTGAAGAAGTTACTACGTTACAGTCCAAGTTAAGGGTTGACAGTAGGGCTGTGGCAATAACTAAACTGCATAGTTCAATAGAGAAACAAGCAGTAGTGTTCTTAGTCTGGCTATCATCATGATTATCATTTGATCCATAGTATGCAGTCTCTCTGCAGTACACTGATAAAGCAGCCTCACCTGAGACTCTCAGAAAAACTAGTTACTTCAACAGGGATATAAACCCCGGGGCCATGACTCCTTGCTGCTATGAAACTCAACTGCACAGTACTTGCAATCAAAACAACAGGAAGGTTCTGATGAAAGCTTTCAACATTGACCAGTAGTGCATTTTATTTTAGAAATGAATTATAGATATTTGCGTATTCATTAACAAATGAAAAAACCTTGGCAAAATAGCTTAGTTGTACCATATAATGTTACTGTTATGAGAACTGATTTCTGCAAAAATGACAGGGGTATAATCCTCAACTCTCCAGCAGATAAACTATTCAGTTTAGAACAGTTTTGCAAAATAGTTCTGAATCAAAAAGTACATCATGTTTGCAAACCAGTCAATGCAAAATAAGCTTAATTTCAATGAAATGGGGCATAAGCATTAGCACCAATCAAACTGTTAGTTTTCTATTGAATTCAAGATTCTTTTTAATTAAAATTTCAGTTGAAGTTTCTTTTGACAGAAATCCTATGCAGCTCACTTCTGCTTTTCAGGAAAAACAATGAGCTCTATCACTTAGTGATGTAATTAAATGATAATCATGATTCAGTATTCAATTTGCAAAAAAAATATAAAAAGAAAAAGAAAGAACAACGTTTCATAGGTTTCGTACTCTAGACCTTTGGAGGACCACATTCAGATTTTAAGAGGAAACATCAGGAAATGAACATACTAATTTAAATCTGTTTCAGGACTCAGAATGCATGGCTCTGTGTGTGAATGTATGCAGGTATGATCAGAGACTGTGACATGCCATACCCTTCTAGTGCCAAACATTGTATGTCTACAAGATTGATATTATTGCCTGAGGGACAGAAAAGAGTGGCATGAGCCCTTCAAGAGCAGGAAGCAGAAAAGAACAATCAAGTTATCCACGTGTACAGACAGCTCTGTTTTTACCCCATCCAAGGTGAAAGTGATGTCTTTTTAGAGGCTTTCAGCCACCTGTTAGTAAGTATATTCAGTAAAATACAATAAAACCAAGCTATGTGGAAGACCTTCTTGAATTTGTTCAAGACTTGTTTCCATATCTATCTAAAATTACATTGAATCACTTGTAAAAGAGTGTTTTTGCTGCAAGCTTTTGGGTTTTAAATACCTCCCTAAGTCAAGTCAACTGTAACCTTCTTTATGTTAAAAGTATCCCCTGATGGTGCTTTCAGATGCATTAAAGGTGCAAGTCAAAATTTGATAGTATTTTTTTTAAAGCTGGTGCAGAGTGAATAACTCATGGATTATTTCAATATTTTTGTAAAATAACAATGTGGTATACAATGGTGTTAGTTACTTTTTATAAACTTCAAATCTTTTAATACATCACATTCTCTTTAATAACTTCGATTTTAAGAATTGATCCATGAATTATATCAACTAACTTCTGCAGGTTGATATAAACATGATTTTCATACTTTATGATTTATTTTGCAGTGTAATGTCATATGAAAGCCAACATGGGTACTTTTCGACTATTCTGAGTACGTGAATCCTGTTTCAAGTGTAGGTGGTTTGTAAAGACACCAAAGGTTTTCCATAAGAAACAACTCAATATAAATATTTCCATCCATTTTAGGAGAGTGAAACAGAACTGGAGATTTGCTGTTTTAAGCGACATTGTCAGGAGGGAGAAGAGTTGGTGATTTGGTATTTTAACCTTCATGTCCGGTGTAGTCACTGCTGTATATGCTGCTGGAAAAGTTCAGTTGTTCCTTTTATTATATTTGTAATATATGAAATAGCAGAGGTTACACGGCACATGTTTCTTTGTGTGCATTCAGTTAGCCATTTTTAATGTTGATTTTTTTTTATTGGTGAAATGTTTGACGCCTGCTTACTTTGCTGGGGCAAGATCCTTAAAATAAACTGTTTGTGAAAGTGCAGGAATTGACAGACCAGAAAAATTGTAGCTATCATCCAAACATGAAGATTTTCTTATGTACTTATAAATAAAGGCAGACAGTTACATGCAATTTTAATTAAAATAAAAAATTGAACATGGAATTTTGTATGAAGAGCTTGACCACTTTCCATAGTGGTTCAGCTGACTATTCATTAATCTTATTTTGTCAGAAAGTACACGACTGCTGCAGTCAGTTAAAAAGAATTTGGGAGTGAAGCTCCTAATTTGTCTAATCAAATTCAGTAGTGTTTTCATTCCATAAGCAAATACACGATTTTTATAAGAAAGAAGTAGACTTTATTTCTTTAGATAAAATAATCCCATTTCTGTCTTATCTGAAACATCAGTTTTCTTGAAAAGTGTTCTAGCAGTACACTTCTGCTCAAACAATTTAAAATTATACCACACGGGAGAAATCAATGGGCAGTGCTTTTCTAAGTCTTGGTTTGAGTGATGACTTACAGGATCATTTTGTTTAAAAAGACCATTTTCAAGGCCAAAATTTGACTTGCATTGCAAGGTTTTTGAGTTAAAGTGGTTTTGGGAATATATGGGTGCTATTTTATGCTTTTTTCCACTTCCTACAACTAAATTTCTCTATTCTCCCATAATTTTTTCTACTTTATAGATATCATTAAAAAAACACAACATTTTTTAAAACAAGTTATTGTAGGTCCTAATATAAATAATTATATGCATGCTATTAGAAAAGGTAGTCCATATATACAGCTTATTTCTATAGTTAACTCAAGTTGGATATAGGGAAAAAGAAGTATTTTATAGTAAGTCAAATTTTGGTCCCAAAGTAATTTATCCATCATGTGCTTGCATCCAAGTCCTGAAAATGAAGGTGGCCAAAAACCTTTGATTCACAAGTGTCAGACCCCAGAGAAAGAGCAGGGTCCTTATGGGTGTATCTACACATCACTGTACACCAACGTTGCAACAGTGCTGTGCTTCACTACTTCCTTTTGGAAGTACTAAAGCCCGTACTGCACCGTGTGCACAGTGCATGGTTAGTTTTCACCGCTACTTTGCCATAGCAGCGCACTAAAACAGGGGAGTGCGCCACTACACAATCACATGCCAATCACGTGTACACTCATGTGCTAGCTACAGCAATGTAGGGTGATGTGTAGATGCAGCCTATGTGTTCTAGCCCCAGTAGCTGAGTGGTGAGGGCACTTGTCTAGCAAAGCTTAACAGCAAAGGTTTAAGGCTCCCCCTCACTTAATGACCGTGCTAACTTCCCAGCACAGTGTTCTAACCCCCACACACAGGTCAGGTATTCTCAAACCCTCCTCTTAAGTTTGGGCAGCCAAGACAGGAAGGTATGTGGAGCTAAGAGGAAGAGAAAAGGCTTGATTGCATATGGCTTAATAAAATGGTGATCCCTCTTGATGGGATATGGCCAGAGGTTATAACTTGGACCCTTGCTTTCAGCATGGCAGAAACTCTCCTCCATCCATTTTATCCACTGAATAGTGCGTAGAACAGAGGGGGGCAAAATGCAGCCCAGGGGCCAGATGCCATTCTATCCGGCCCACAGGGCCCCTAAAAAATTTAGAAAATTAATATTTGTCTGCCCCTTGCTGCCTGTCATGCAGCCCTTGATGGCTTGCCAAAACTCAGTAAGAGGCCCTCTGCCCAAAATAATTGCCCACCCCTGATGTAGAAGGTGCAGTGGCTTAGCTTCAAAAGGAGCACTGGAGAGGGTTTGGATCATGCCTATGGCATAATATTTAGAGCACTGTGCTGGGAAATCAGAAGAGCATAGCTTTAAATCCCCTGGACAAAGGGAGCCTAAAACCTAGGTGTCTGACTTCCGGGGTGGGTACCTTAACCTCTCAGCTACTGGGGCTAAAACATAGGATAGCGTCCCCACCTGGAACTTACACACAGATATGTGCATGTGTAGCTGTGCTAGATGCATACTAGTGTGTAGTCCTACTGTGCACACTCAGTCTGTGTCCTCAGAGTTATGCAGCCACTGCATAAAGCAGAGGCCAAATATGGTCCAATATGGCCAGAAGCCTGCCATTTTGACACATAAAAGGAGGAGAATTACACCTATGGTTTATTATCTTGTGTGGGCACATATAGTCAAGTTAAATAATAATAAGAAAAAATATAGAGGTTATCAATATTGAATCCAGCCTATTCAAGAGATCTTTGTACTTCCTTATGAGCAGTTAATAATCAGCATGTACTATTCTTTTTTACCACAAAGTATAACTTTAGATTCACCAATCAAGCTCAAATAGGACAGCAATAGGAAACAATAAAATACTAAAACAAACTTTTTGTTTCTGAGGCAATGAAAAACCAGTCCTTTAACATTCTATTCCTGAATAATATGAAAATAAATGAAAGCTCTATATGAAATGTCTTTCCTCTGCTTGAGGAGGAATTGTATTGCCACATCTGTTGATTTATTAGAAATGAATTTCATATTACTATTGCCCTTTTCATCTGTACACATTTTCCATTGGAACTAAATTGCAATGTATCTGTTTAAATATTCTCTCCTAGAATGTGAGTAATCAAAAGTTTGTGGCTTTGTATGTTATAGAAAATACATTTTATGTAACTGCACACCCATCAAATTAGTTATATGAAAAGCACCATGCAGTTCCCACTCGTACATTCTGAAAAGATTTCAGATACTCCCAGGTAAAAAACCATATAGTGATTATAAAAAGGTTTATAAAAAGTTATTCTTCATTATTCATATTTTCCTTTAAACCATTAAAAAGCAACACGCACTATCAAGAAGTGGTGCAGGCACCTACTCTGGACGCGTTCAAGAAACGCTTGGATGCTTATGTTGCTGGGATCCTTTGACCCTAGCCGACTTCCTGCCCCTGGGGCAAGGGACTGGACTTGATGATCTTCAAGGTCCCTTCCAGCCCTAACGTCTACAAAATCTATGAAAATCTATGAGTGTCACATGGTTACATCACTGCTTCAACTAATAATGCTGCTATCTTTTAACTTCTCGCTTTCTGAAATTGTGTAGTTCAAAGAAACTGGTATGCTGCAGTTTACTCTGGCTCTGAACCACTTGCACTGGCCTGCACAATGCCAAGGAAATGACTTCAGCATATTGCTGGTGTGCGACTAATACCTTTCTTGCTCCTGTGCATGGTAGAAGACAGAGTAAATTGCATTCATCCAAGCTGAAATGACAGACAAGCATCCACCTAACCAAGTTTATTTAGGCTCAGCTACTACAAAGGGTACAAGATGAAAATAATCACAACATGTCTGTGAATTAACAAGCTCAACACTATAATTACCAATTCTATAGTACAACACTGAAGAATGTGGAAAGAATTGTATAAGAACACAATAAGCCATTTAATTTTGCTAATTGTAGCAGTTAGACTTGCTTACATGAAGCCTGCTCCTTTAGTAGAAACAGGGCCGAATTAACCCTTTAGTGGGCCCTAGGCAAACAAACTCATGGGCCCTAGGCCAGTTGAGATGCCCTTCTTCATCCCAGCGCTGCTGCCCGCGAGGAGCGGGGCTTGGAGCCATTCCTAGGGGACGGCGCCATGGTGGTGAGGCTGGCAGAGGGGAGGGGAAGGGAAGGCAGGTGGATGGGGCCATTCCCACCACCACTGTGGAGGGAAGGACCAGGCCCTCTACCCCTGCAGCTCAGGGCCTGAGCCATGTGCCCAGTTTGCCTATGCGTTAATCCAGCCCTGAGTAGGAAGGCACATGGAATAAGTGGCAAACAACTATTTATACCCCAGAAATAACATATTATGAAATCCTCCCTCAATTGCTGGTAGAATCGTGTCTTTCCATTATGCAATGGAATCTTTTTTCTTTTTATTCCACCAAAACAGTTAACTTTTAAACTGAGAACACAGTTTCAGTCTGCAAACAAACCAATTTGAATAGGGAATTCTGCATTCACTTTTTCTTGTTCATCATTGTGTTCATTGTCCCTTTTCATAGAAAGGGTATTGCAGTTGATACACAGTGTATTTCAGCAACATTGTATTTCAGTTCTAAACTGCGGCAGTGATCTCCTGTCCAGATGACTTACCTCATTTGTCACTGTTGAATAGATGGCACAATCCTGCAAAACCTTGCCCATGCACATAGTCTTTGTAGGAATAGTGTTATGGATTAATATGCTATATTATAAATTTTGGGAGCCAAAGTAATCCTTTGGACCTGCTTATGAGCTCATATGCAAGTTTTGCTTTGATAACTCATTTTGCGTTGGTTTTTAATGGAGGTTCTCCATTTGAATGATGATATGCATGTGTGAGAAGGACTCTTATGGTGAGGATTTGTAGGCTCAGACATTTACTCTGCATTGTTAGCTCAAACTGAAATCATTTGGAGCTTTGCTGTGCAGTCTGGAGAGCTTAATACCACTCAACTCAGAAAAAACAGTGCTCCATACTTTGCAGTATCTATGACAAATCAAAACCTTTCATTTTCATTTTCCCTTCTTCTATGCTGACACTTATTATTCTATCCATGTTTGGTTTCATGGTAGTTTTATATTTGTTGATCTGTTTATGATAAGTAGACCCTGGAAAATGTCTACTCAACTATGAACATCAGAATAGCTGTGGTCAAAGAAATATATTGAAAATAACTAGGCTTGATCCTGCTGCTATTTTTTGTTTTCAATTCTTAGCCTAATTTTCTTGTTCAGGGAAAATCTTGCACACTACAGTAAGTTACATACTCATTCTACATACTTATTCTGGATTCTCAAGGATTCTCTTAACAATACACAAATAGGTACCTGGTTGAGGGAGGTACCAAGGAGGACTGAGGAAGATGTGGGTTAACATGAGCTCCATAGGCAGGGAAGAACGCACCCTATGCATGGAATGATTTGTACCAACTGTACACCCAGAGTTTGTGCCAGGGGGTAACTCCTGTGTGTGGAATTATTATAGGGGAGTTATGGATATCACAGTTTGTGGAATGAGTTTCTAGGATTTGGTAAAATTAATTACACATAAAGAAAGACAATATGTAATCCCTGAAAACAAACATTCTTAACACATTGCAAAACTCCTGTTCTCCAGGGTTGGTTGCATACTTAATAATACACTTCAATACTACAATATTAGGAACAATAATATGCCTGAAATATGTACAAATATACAAATAGGCCTGAAATAGTTACCTTACATCTCCTTATTTCTGATCCTATGGAAGTAGTTGCTCCTGATTTCTTATGCCTGGTGATTTTATTATGTGTGGTCTGGGGAGTCAGGTAATTTTAGGCTCATTATAATGTTATCTACCAAAAGGAGTTACTACAATGTGAGTGAGGATATGAATTTAAAGTGCAGTAGCTATGCCATACCAGCTTCTTTACCTTTCACACTAAGAGTACCCTCTTTGCAGATTAGACCATACTTTTAGACTTCAGACACATGACAGAGAATGCCCCTCACACCCCAACACTTTTATACAATAATTCAGTAGCTAGAGCACTCATCCAGGAAATATGAGACCTAAGCTGAGGTCCAGCCTAACCCTGAGAGGTATAAACTTACATCTCTTGCTACTTTTTAGGAGAATGCCCTAACCACCAGGCTATAGGATATTTGGGGCATGGAAGTACTCTCATTCTCTCCTGTTGGATATGTTCCACAGAAACATTTACACGTCATTAGACCAGAGAGAGAGAGAGAGAACACAAGCATGCATATGACTCTTGTGCTAAGTGGTTAAGACACTCATATGAGACACCTGAGTCCAAGCCCCTACTTGAGGCCCCACCTATATATTTTCCTTAAATAACATTTTTCACTGTGATAAATGAAAAATGTTTTAAACAGACCTTGGAGCTGGCAGGGCCTGAGAAATATGTCCCAACTATTACCATAAGTTTACAAATCATACACTGCCTGTGGTCCAGTGAATTTTTATATACATCATAGAAGGTGAAAGAGGACAAATGGCCCACATCTTAGTAGTTGGAGTATTCTTCTGGGTGAGGTGAGTTTGAGTCCCTTTAGGGAGAGGAGATTTACTTCACTTCTCATGCTTGATAAATATGAATAAATAATATAAACAATGAGCTATTGTATGGAGAGGATGGGGAAAGAAAGGGTTTAGATAGCCATGTTCAACTCTCTGAATCCTGAGTAAAGAGAGGTGGTTCCTTTCAGACCAGAGTAAGGCATCTAAGCCCTGGAGAGAGACAGGATTTAAGACATGTTTGTATCTTCATCACTTCCTGTTGGATAATTTTCACACCTTCATGCTGATTTTTGTAGAATTTTTCTATGAGTTGTATAGGGAGCCTAGGCACCTAAACCAGAGCCTGGAAGTTAGGTATTGCAGTGCTTGGTGCTGGCATGTCTAAGGGCACTTTTACACAATACAACACATTACCATACCAAGATATTGCAACCTAGGATCACTAACACAAGCAGTGTAACTGTATTGCATGGGATTCCCCCGCAGGGTAATTCATCCTACTAAGCAGTGGAAAAGATTTAATTGAGCAGAGCACTAAACTAATACA